TAGGGATATAAAAACATGACAGGAAGGCAGTTTAATTCGCAGAATTGCATTGATTTGTGACGATTACATATGGCGCGTGTTACCAATGTTGATACCCGAGGCTGTAGCGCCTTTGTTTGAGCCTTCTAGCGCATTTGCAAGCCAATGACACCTTCACCGGCACGTAACTGTTGTTCTGTCCATGCACGCTTCTCGCCCTCCGCTTCCTAAAATTTATTATTTATCCATAAGAATCAACAAAACTATGCAAGGAACGCATACAACATTGCAATTAACACGGATCTAACACACGACATCTCACGAAGATTGTTTTAAAAGAATTTTCACAAAATCTCCCGTAGAAATAATCAGATAATAAATGGAAATGGAATCATTGGAAGTAAAAGTTATTTATTGTTAAAGACTCTGGGTATTACTAAAATAAGTGAAGAAGACAAACCTTCGGGCCAAGTCCCTTCTTACCGAATAATTTTTCGGATTTTCTTGCGAGTGATGCGAGGCATATGAGAACAGCGTTCGGATCTTGTCCTTCGTAGAGATCAATCGTTTGGAATAATTCCGTTTCTGGCACATGCTTAGTTGCGAATTCCAAAAAGAATGAAATATTTTCCATTTGCTTGAAAGCCATCTTACTGGTGTTCACCTTCTTCACTGCACCTGGTTCTAACGCATTCGCCAAACTGAAAATTCAGCTCTTTCAAAACATTTTACTATGGGAACAAAAACAACTAATAGAACTGTTGAATATTATCACGGCCATTCGCAATTCTCCCACAGTTTCCAATAAAAGTCGAGATTAAAGACACACCTGCACAGAACAGTCCCATCTTTGAGGGTGCTGACGAAATTCTCGAGATCGCCTCTCTTGTCGAAATTGTCGCCTGTTATTGCGGCGATCCAAGTGAGAATTTCGCTGGCCAATTCTGGATCATATTTACCACGAATTTTCCGTTGTGCATCTAGTGCAAAACCAGACTTTTCAGCACGTGAGGCCATCGTTGTTCACAAAACTCGACGGTAAACTATTGGCAACCTGAAACAAAATATAATTTATCGATCAGAAGCATTTTCCAGACAATTTTTCGCTGTGAAAGTGATGCGCAGAGAAGCGGTGCAATCACGAAATTAGGGGAAGAAGAAAATTAAACAACAAATATGAGTT